GTTAGACGTTGTCGGTTGATGTACTGCATGTGTGGACATTCGCGTARCAAATGTACTAAACTCAATTGTACAATTRTTTGTACAATAATTRATTTYCTAAGCAWAATGAAGTCKGTCCAGTGACAATAAAATTASTTGCATATTTTTAATTCAKTTCCGTCATGTCTTGGCATTGACGCGTCATTTGTACTAAACCTAATTMAACAGTTTTTCCGCGATTGTACATTTCCAGTCAAAATGACTTGAAAYSAAATTAGTTGGACGTTGTASAGTTATTTSCWRMKTATGTGGGGATGGACGWWRYAAATGTACTGAACCCAATTGTACAATTCATCAACAAMATGACGGTCTGTCKAGTTTGTTAATAAAATTAGMTGGACATTTTGAATTGATTTGCTGCATGTGTTGACAATGACGCGCACAATTGTACTAAACCTAATTATACAATTTTTCCGCAAGTGTACATTTTCAAGTCAAAATACTTGGTATGAAAAATAAGTCAGACGTCGATTTTTTTATTGCATCTGTGAACGTTGGCGTATCAAATGTACTAAACCCAATTGTCCACTTTTTTACGAGAATTGATTTCCTAAACAAAATGTCGGTCTGTCGAGTTGAGAGTAAAATATGCTGCGTCTGTTGCCATTGACGCATCAATTGTACTAAACGAAATTATGCAATTTTCAAGTTTACCGTAAGTTAGACTGTCAGTTAGACGTCGATTTTCTATTGCATCTGTGGACGTTGGCGTAACAAATGTACTAAACCCAATTGTACAACTTTTTCACGAAAATTTATTTCCTGAACGAAATGACGGTTTGTCGAGTTGACAATAAAATTAGTTAGACATTTTGAGTTAATTTGCTGCGTGTGTTGCCATTGACGCATCAATTGTACAAAATATAATAGTACAATTTTTCCGCTAGCGTACTTTGCCAAGTCAAACTGACTTGTTGTTGTGAAAAATTGGTCTAATCTACTTAACAAAATAGAACCATTTTTCACAAAACAAGTGTGCATTTGCAGAACAAAATGACACGCGCTGTCGAGTTGACAGTTGACATTGACGTAAAAAATGTACATTCGTTTACGAAAGTTAATTTTCTAAAATAATTGGTGCGCTGTCGAGTTGACAATAAAGTTAGTCAGAGGTTTTTGATTTAATTCCTGCATTTGTGGACATTGACGGAACAAATGTACTAAACCCAATTGTACAATTTTTCCACCATAATTCATCACCTAAACAAACTGACAATCTGTCAAGTTGACAACAAAATTCGTTAGACATTCCTGATTTATTTGCTGAATGTGTTGACATTGACGCATCCATTGTACAAAATCTGACAGTAGAATTTTTGTTGCAGGCGCCAGTGGTGGCGGCATCCCGATTCGCCGGCCATTATCTCATCAGCACTGTCCCGAAATGATGGAAGTCAGTAGCGGAGGCGGCGCCGGCGCATTATCCCACGTATAGTACAATTCGTTTAGTAAAGTTAACCGGGAATTTTCGTTCAATTTTTCCGGTCGAATTGGAAACACGTTTCGGATCGTTTCGGGAACCACCATCTTCAATGTGTGTACATAGTTGAAAATAAATAAAACGACTGATTTTTTAGCGGTTAACACCAATTTTAGAGCCTAAGACGTGTGTTGTTGAGTCGTTTTCATTTTCTCTACTTCCTGAGATTGTCGATAGTTCGGTTTGTTTTACTGTCGCGAGCAATTGATGCGTTGTACAATTAATTGCGCTGATTTGATGTGGAAATCAGTGCGCGATCTAACCTCACATCGAAGCAGTTTCGCGGGGCATCCCACATACAAATGGTGCCAAATTGTCCAAAACATT